CTGCTCCTTGCACCAGTGTTGCAGAGTGTAGTTTAATAAGAGACAGTTCATCTCTTACTTTAGCAGGACAATTAAGGAAAATCCTGCTCCCACTTTGTTACCATAGTAAAGATAGTGGACATTGTTGTCTATGCTTAAGACAGCAAGAATCAAACATTCTGCTTTGCTTCATCGAGGAAGTGGAAAGGGAAAAGCAAAAGTACTAGGTCAGTTTTTCCTTTGTGCTAGGGGAGTAACGGCGTGGGACGCTGTGGCGTCTTCAGATTACTTTTGACTCTACTGAGAGTGACACTGACGCCAGGATAACCAACAAAGAATGATCTGTGCGTTAGTGTGAACAAAGTATCTCATAAACCACAATAAACACTTAAGAGAAGTGTGATCAGCTTCTTTAGTGATAAGACTGTGAACAATAAAGATAAATCTTGTGGAACATAGTGTACCAGTGTACGTATTGTAACAGTCTGAGTGATAATATTGTAACAGTCCGAGTGGCAGTATTGTAACAGTCTGAGTGACAATAATGTAACAGTCTGAGTGATAATATTGTAACAGTCCGAGTGGCAGTATTGTAACAGTCTGAGTGACAATAATGTAACAGTCTGAGTGATAATATTGTAACAGTCCGAGTGGCAGTATTGTAACAGTCTGAGTGACAATAATGTAACAGTCTGAGTGGCAGTATTGTAACAGTCTGAGTGACAATATTGTTACAGTCTGAGTGGCAGTATTGTAACAGTCTGAGTGGCAGTATTGTAACAGTCTGAGTGGCAATATTGTAACAGTCTGAGTGGCAGTATTGTAACAGTCTGAGTGGCAGTATTGTAACAGTCTGAGTGGCAGTATTGTAACAGTCTGAGTAGCAGTATTGTAACAGTCTGAATGGCAGTATTGTAACAGACTGAGTGGCAGTATTGCAACAGTCTGAGTGGCAATATTGTAACAGTCTGAGTGGCAATATTGTAACAGTCTGAGTGACAGTATTGTAACAGTCTGAGTGGCAATATTGTAACAGTCTGAGTGGCAGTAACACTATGTGACAGTCAATCAGACTTCACACTACTTACCATCAGAGGTATAACAATGCCAGGCAGGTCGTCCATCAGAGTCTCAGCTCCTCCATCATTCAGGAACTGAAGGAGGTGGTCGTTCAGGTCGTTCTGGTAGTTCAGGTCGTTCTGACTGTCTCTTTTACGACGCCTTCCCATAGTTAATTGTTGAACTGCATCCTGTGTGTGTGTGTGTGGTTTTTTTGTGTGTGTTGTGTGTGTTTGGTGTGTGTGTGTGTGTGTGTTTTGTGTGTGTGTTTGTGTTGGTGTTGTGTGTGTGTTGTGTGTGTGTGTGTGTGTGTGTGGTGTGTGTGGGTGTGCGTGCGTGGGGTGTGTGTGGTGTGTGTGTGTGTGTGTGAGTGTGTGTGTGTGTTGTGCGAGTGTGTGTGAGAGAGAGAAAAGTGACAAGAATATTATCTATCAATATATATATATATTTTTTATATATATAAATATAAAATAAAATATATAATATATATACACTCACAAACACTTATCTCGGGCTGAAGGAGACTGGAACCTACGAACCTTGGAAGTAGGTACGCAGTGCTTAACCATCCTCACCACACTGGACCAATAAACCATACCCCGGCCGGGATTGAACCCGCGGTCAGTCTCAAAACTCCAGCCCTTGGCGTCCAGCTCACGCTAGACGTTGATCACGCTAGACGTTGATCACGCTAGACGTTGATCACGCTAGACGTTGATCACGCTAGACGTTGATCACGCTAGATGTTGATCAACGTGTAGCGTGATCTGGGCGCCAAGGTATTGGACAAGTGTTGCTTGTTCCAAGGTTCGTAGGTTCGAGTCTCCTTCAGCCAGAGATCAGTGTTTGTGTATATTTCACCTTCTCTGGCCAATTCATTGCATACATATATAATCGGTCCTATATAATCACATATATTAATTTTACAAACATTAATATACGAATAATATTACCTTTCAATATATTTTCTTTGATTTGGGAGATACATTCCTCTCTCTCTCTCTCTCTCTCTCTCTCTCTCCTCTCCCTCTCTCTCTCTCTCTCCTCTCACTCTCTCTCTCTCTCATCTCCCCTCTCTCCTCTCTCTCCTCTCTCTCTCTCTCTCTCACCTCTCCCCCTCTCTCTCTCTCTCTCTCTCTCCTCTCTCTCTCCTCTCTCTCTCTCTCTCTCTCTCTCTTTTCCCCCTTCTCTCTCTCTCATCTCCTCTCTCCTCTCTCTCCTCTCTCCTCTCCCTCTCTCTCTCTCCTCTCTCGGGGGGCTCTCCCCTCTCTCTTCTCCTTCCTCAGGCTTTTCTTTCTCTCTTTTCTCTCTCTCTTCGTTTCTTCTGCCCCTTCTCTCTCTCTCTTTTCAAAAATTCACAAGTTTAAAAAAATTCATAATTATTAGAAAATTTTCTTAATCAAATTTTTGCCCCATTAATTTCATTAATTACATCTTCAAATGGAAAAATATGTTTACTTATTTAATAAATCCGGAAGACTACACACTCAGTGTTAATACACTGAGTATATTCTCAGTGTATATACACGGGGTATATCTCTCAGTGTATATACACTGAGTATATCTCTCAGTGTTATACACTAAGTATATCTCTCAGTGTATATACACTGAGTATATCTCTCAGTGTATATACACTGAGTATATCTCTCAGTGTATATACACTGAGTATATCTCTCAGTGTATATACACTAAGTATATCTCTCAGTGTATATACACTAGTTAAAATTTTCTCAGTGTATATACACTAAGAATATCTCTCAGTGTATATACACTGATAATCTCTCAGTGTATATTCACTGAGTAATATCTCTCAGTGTAAAAACACTAAGAAAACTCTCAGTGTAATCACGAGTATATCTCTCAGTGTATATACACTGGATATTCTCTCAGTGTATATACCTGAGAGTAAAGCTCTCTCAGTGTATATACTCTGAAAAATAGGAGCAGTGCAACTTTGCTCACTCTGTGTAGAGCTTTAAACAAGTCTTTTTTCACTCTGTGTAGAGCTTTATCAAGTCTTGTTTCACTCTGTGTAGAGCTTTATCAAGTCTTGTTTCACTCTGTGTAGAGCTTTATCAAGTCTTGTTTCACTCTGTGTAGACTTTATCAAGCTTTTCACTCTGTGTAGAACTCTACAAGTCTTGTTTCACTCTGTGTAGAGCTTATCAAGTCTTGTTTCACTCTGTGTTAGCTTTACAAGTCTTGTTTCACTCTGTGTAGAGCTTTATCAAGTCTGTTTCACTCTCTGTAGAGCTTTATCAAGTCTTGTTTCACTCTGTGTAGAGCTCTATCAAGTCTTGTTTCACTCTGTGTAGAGCTCATCAAGTCTTGTTTCACTCTGTGTAGAGCTTTATCAAGTCTTGTTTCACTCTGTGTAGAGCTTTATCAAGTCTTGTTTCACTCTCTGTAGAGCTTTATCAAGTCTTGTTTCACTCTGTGTAGAGCTTTATCAAGTCTTGTTTCACTCCTGTAGACTTTATCAAGTCTTGTTTCACTCTGTGTAGAGCTTTATCAAGTCTTGTTTCACTCTCTGTAGAGCTTTATCAAGTCTTGTTTCACTTTGTGTAGAGCTTTATCAAGTCTTGCTTCACTCTGTGTAAGCTTTTTCAAGTCTTGTTTTCACTCTCTGTAGAGCTTATCAAGTTTGTTTTCACCTTGTAAACTTTATCAAGTCTTGTTTACTCTTTGTAGAGCTTTATCAAATCTTGTTTCACTCTGTGTAAAGCTTTATCAAATCTTGTTTCACTCTTTGTAGAGCTTTATCAAGTCTTGTTTCACTCTCTGTAGAGCTTTTCAAGTCTTGTTTCACTTTTTTGTTAGAGCTTTATCAATCTTGTTTCACTTTGGGGTAGAGCTTTATCAAGTCTTGCTTTCACTCTGTGTAGAGCTTTGTCAAGTCTTGTTTCACTCTTTGTAGAGCTTTATCAAGTCTTGTTTCACTTTGTGTAGAGCTTTATCAAGTCTTGTTTCACTCTCTGTAGAGCTTTATCAAGTCTTGTTTCACTCTGTGTAGAGCTTTATCAAGTCTTGTTTCACTTTTGTAGAGCTTTATCAAGTCTTGTTTCACTCTGTGTAGAGCTTATCAAGTCTGCTTCACGGTGTAGAGCTTTATCAAGTTTGTTTCACTCTGTTTTAGAGCTTTATCAAGTCTTGTTTCACTCTGTGTAGAGCTTCATTAAGTCTTGTTTCACTGTGTAGAGCATTGTTAAGACATGTTTCATTCTGTCTAGAGCTAAATCGTCTTGTTTCAATGTAAAGAGCTTTATGATGTCATGTTTCACCTTATTTTACCATGTTTCACCTTATTTTACCATGTTTCACTTTATTTTACCATGTTTCACCTTATTTTACCATGTTTCACCTTGTTTTACCATGTTTCACCTTGTTTTACCATGTTTCACTTTTTTTTACCAATGTTTCACCTTGTTTATACCCTGTTTCACCTTGTTTTACCATGTTTCACCTTGTTTTACCATGTTTCACCTTATTTTACCATGTTTCACCTTGTTTTACCGTGTTTCACCTTGTTTTACCATGTTTCACCTTGTTTTACCATGTTTCACCTTGTTTTACCATGTTTCACCTTGTTTTAACCATGTTTCAAAAACCTTTTTTTTAAAACCAGTTTTCACCTTGTTTTAACATGTTCACCCCCTTGTTTAACATGTCATGTTTCATCTTGTTTTTTATCACATTTCAGAAAATGCTTTTAAAATATGAAACTGTTTCTGTCTTTCCTTAACCTATTCTTGAGAATGGCAGGAACACAAGTCCCTGCGACATAGAGCTTAGGGTTGAGTGTCCATTTACCGGGTTATCTTCTTTGAAATTTCATAAAACTTTGATAGAAACAAATTACTGATTTCCTCTTTTTCAATGTGTTTGAGTTTTAGGGCCTCTAGTAACGTCCGTACCAAACCTCTCATAAGTGGGGGCCACGGAGTATATATGAAAGTTTATGGCTGAATAAAAATTTTTTTGGTGGATTACTTTTGAGTTACGACAGTAGGTTGACAGTGAATGGTAATTAATGGGACGATAAGGTCACTGTTATGCATAAACAGGACGATAAATGGAGAGAGGAAGAGGAGTTGTCATTGGCACTGGTCGGTGTCGGTCGCATGCTCGAAGTCGGCGTGTTGTTTTTGGATGCAAATGCCGCACAAGTTTTTAATTAGAACTTTAATAAATCTCTACCCAGAGTAAACCGCTCCTCGATAAAGCTTTGTCAGAATGGAAGCATACTCTCTCTTCCTTGTGATTGCTGGGTTATAGAGCTGCGACTGGGCGAGTGCCGTACGAGCCCATCAAGCCGAGGATTTCGGACGGGTTAACGATGCCGGCTGTAGTTCCCAGCAAATCCAGAGGCCCCTATCCCTCTTTTAGCCAAGTCGTCCTGTCGTCGAAGCCTCCTGTGAGCCGCCTCGAAGCCCCTAATCGTCCCGTTGGTTGTTTCCCAGAGGACTGGAGGTTCGTCCGAAACACCCGGGAGACCTGACTGTGCAGTCGTGTCTAGACCTGCCATCAGACGCGGCCTCCAGCACCTGGCGGAACTTGGAGTGGTCGTCCCCTGTGAAGGCTTTACCTACGACGTTGGAGATCAGAGAGGCCAGGACACGACCCACTACTCCGTGCCTGATGGAGAGT